ACACACACACACACACACACACACACACACACACACACACACACACACGGTGCCTATACTCACACCATACACACACATACAGTCTGCACACACCACACACACACACACACACACACACACACACACACGTAAGTGATGTCTCCACACAGATCTGTTCTGAATGTCCAGCTTCGTGAGCTCTTTGCAGTTTTCACTCATTGCAAATCACTCAGTTAGCTGTCCCTTCATAGCTATTGCTCACTTCAGAAGAGCTTCTGCTTCAGCAGCAGCTTTAGCTCGGGGGTTTAAAGTTGAGCTCAGTACTTCCTGCTAGAGAATAGACTAGTCACACCCTTCCCAGGCCTCCCAGTAAGCACACCTGCAACATACTAAGTACCCTGAAGGGCCAGGTGAAGAAGGCAGGTTGGTGATGGCCTTGGAACTTGAAGACTATCATGGTCATGAGCTCCATGGGTTTTCTTCTTGCCTCATGTTTCTCTGGAGCCAGAGACACTAATGCTCACATAGCGAAGGCTTGTGTCCTCTACCCGGACAACTGGGGAGTGAGTGGTCGAGCAAGACAGAGAACTTTCAGGGGTTCTACTCTAGCCGGACACCAGAGAAAAGGAGCTAGTCCCTTGTGCCCTGTTAGCAAAGGCTGAGTCAGAGGCCATCCTGTGGGAGTGGTGTCAGAGAAACCAAGGTGGAAGCCAGAAGTTTACCCTCTCTATCTAGTAAAGAGCCTGTCTGCTCCCACAGAGCCAGGGGAGGCCTGTGGGGAGCCTGGATCCTTCCTCTGGTACCTAGCCACTTCTGTCCTGCCCCCTTTCTGAGGGCAAGTGGAAAACTTGGTGGGAGTCTTTCTTTTTGTACCAGACCAGTATCCCTAAACACAGCTACCTAAAACAGAGTTCTAAGGGAATCTGAGACTCATGACACAGTGTAAAAAGTGCCTGGATTTCAGTCAAAAAATCACTCCTCAAATCAATGATTGGGAGGATCATAAACCACGTGAGAAAACAGCCCACAGATGTCCAAAGGTGGAAATGTCATTTATCTTGGCTACCAGTGAAGATCCTGCTTTGATCCCCAGCACTGCAGGGGTGAAAAGAATGCCTAGAATTGTGTGATGGATTTTCAGGCAGCCATAGTAGAGAGACCTTGGTGAGTAATGAGAAGAAGCCATACAGTGGTACACCAAGGAACCAGAAAATCTCAGCAAAGGAGAACCAAGTGGATGTTTGGAACTGAAAAATATATTATCCACAATGATGAAACCTGATGGAGAAGAGTGGAAAAATGGTGGGATGAGCCGGAATGACAGGATGATAGACATGACTTTAAGACCCAGAGAGAAAAACTGAAAACAGATAGATAGAGCTTGGGAGCCTGTGAAGGAGTGATGTGTGCAAAGAGTTCAAGAAGAAACATCAGTCCCCTGGGCATCCTTGTGAAAGAGCCTTGTATTTCTTGACACACAATAATAACCATGGTTGTTTTGCAAGTTGTTGTCATTGGGAAAATTTGGCAGATAGTGTATGAAATCTGTCTTGCTTCCTAATTGTCCTGACTTCTTTCAAAATTCAAGTTTAATTTTAAATTATGTGTCTCTGTATATGTCTGAGTATGGGTATGCATATGAGTGCAGTACCTGCAGAGACCAGAAGAGGGTGTCAGATCCTCTAGAGCTGGAGGTAGAGGCAGCTGTGAGCAGCCTGCTGTGGGTGGTGGGAACTGAGCTCAGGTCTTCTGGAAGAGAGCAGTATATGCTCCTAACTGCTGACCCATTTCTTCAGCCCTTCAAGTCTAATATTTAGAATAAGGATCATTAATTGATTTCTCAACTAAAACGCTTCCCTTCATCCCCCTCCCACCTCATATCAACTCCAGCGAGCTAGCCAGATTTGGTTTTTATCAGTCCATTCATTCTGTTTTTGTATTCCCATAACCAAAGCTAGGAAAATATTGAACTTCAGTGATTCCAGTTTTGGTTACACAGGTGTGTAATCCCAGTACTGAGCAGGTGGAGGCAGGAGGACCAGGAGCTCAAGGTCATCCTCAGCTACACGGAGAGTTTGAGCTAGCCTGGACTACATGTGCCTCTATCTCAGAAACAAACTAAAAAAGGATTTTATTATTTCTGCAGTTTTTAATTAAAACATTTCAGTACAACTGAACCTGTCTTTATATAGAGGGTTTTAAAAAAGAAGTTTGAAAATATTTAATGAGTGTTTTTCAAACATTCTTTCTGTGTCTGGGCTGCGTGTGTGTGTGTGTGTGTGTGTGTGTGTGTGTGTCACTCACTACGTGCATACATATATGTAGAGGCTAGGAGATGACTCCTCAGATGCCATCTACATTTTTTTTTTTTGAGTCAGGGTCTCTCTCTCATGGGCCTGGACCTTGCTCACTAGGCTGACTGGCCAGCAAGCCTCGGTGACTCCCCTGACTTCACCTCCCCACTGCCAGAATTACAGGCATACACTATCATACCAGACTCTTAGGGGGTCTGGCATCAAGCTTGGGTCCTTGACAACACTTTGCTAACAGAGCCACCTCCCCACCTCTGGATGCTCTTACCCTTGTCCCCCCATTGAAAATAGTGCTTCAGTTCATAAATACAGCTGTGTTTAAAACTTAACTTGCTTCAGTGCCCATCGCAACTGGCTCTTTCTGCTTCCAACCCCCCAGAGCATCGAGATGAGGTTGAAAGTGACCCTGCACGAAGACCTAGGCGCAGCGCTCATGGACGGTGTCGTGCTCTGCCACCTGGCCAACCACATCCGCCCGCGGTCTGTCGCCAGCATCCACGTCCCCTCACCTGCGGTTGTAAGTATTGCCAGATAGAGGAAAACTGGTGTAGGACGAGCTCTCTTTGCACAGAGTTGTTGGTTAAAGAAGCGGGTGAGGTCTCCGGGAGTCTGCCAGGATCCCTTCTGTTGGGCCCCTACAACGAGAAGAACAGAGCAAAGGGAGCCAGAGGAAGCAGCACTTCCAGTAAAGAAAGGCTGTTAGAAAAAACATGTATGGGGAAGACAGAAATAACTATCTCAGGTGTGGAGTTTAAAGAAGTTACAGATCGATACCCTGGTTTAAAGGCCATAGAGCACAGAGATTTGGCCCTCACAAAGGGGTCTTTGAACAGCAAGGTGTCTCTTCAGAAGGCTGCCTTGTCGATGGCTTTTTCTAAGTGGACTCTCGCGTGCTTTTTTCTCAGTAGGCCTTCACTAGATACTCATTCCCTAGATAGCCCAAGCTGAGCCCTCCTGCCTCAGCCTCCCCATTGTGGTCGTTACTGATTGGGATCTCTTCTCTTTATCCCATCATTGGGGGTTTTGCTGTAGCTTGTGAAGGTATATAAATATAGAAAGCACCCTGAATAACCGACCAATCCAGGCATAACTGGTTTTTCTCCTCCCTTCCTCAGACCCAGGGCGTCTGCCTGCCAAGCAGGTGCTTTCCTAGCCCTGACCCTTGTCCTAGATGTCACAGAGCCAGCGTCAGGTGACAGAAAGCTACAGGGGGCCATTTGTGACCCCGCCTGCAGGAGCAGAGGGATCATAGATAGGCTTATCTTATAACCCACATAGGGTTATACGAATAAGAACAGAGAGAGTTTATGTCAACAGAGTGGGTGCATTAGGGAAAGTTGAGGCGCTTAGGGGCTCAGGTGCAAGGTTGGATTAAGATTCCAGATCCACGTCTAAAAGCTTTGGGCAAGTTGCATCCTGTCATTAGCTTGATATACGCCCTTCTCTGGAATAGACCTGCTCTCGAGAAGATGAAATGAGGTACCAGAGAGGCAAGCCACGTAAATGAGTCACTGCTACCATATGTGTTTATATATAGCAGAGCCGCTAATCTTAAGGTACGATTTCGACTGTGTAATCAGTGTGTCAGGTGGCCACTTGTGTGGGACCCCTGCCCTCCTCCTTCAGGGAGCTCTCACTGGGGCCTTTTTATTCTACTCTGTTTTCCCCTGGCCACAGAAAGATGAGCTAGTGATCTCATTTCAGCCGTCAGTTCCTTTTCTATAATATTGACTGCTTTTTTTCTTTCAAAAGTATGGCCACTTTTATGTTTCATTTTTTTTTTATTTTTTTTTTTTTGCCTCAGAAACATTGGAGGGGTAGCAGTATAACTTCTCCTTGAAGTCTGTCTCTAGCAGCCTTACTGTAGGACAGTGAATTCTATCATTCATTGCAGTGCAGAGGTCTCCAGTCTCTTCCTGTTACTGTTATTAAGACTCATATTTATTTTTTAGTTCTGTGTGTAGGTGTGTGCACATAAGCACCGGTGCCTGAGGAGGCCAGAAGAGGGCATTGGATGCCCTGGAGCTGGAGTTGCAGGTCTTATGTGGGTGCTAGGAACTGAACTTGGGTCCTCCCTTGGCCACCAAGCCAGTTCTCCATGACATCGCGTGAGCTGTATGCCACACCATGAGCTTTTCCCCCCGGTTTATATGAGACATACTGGGTTCTCTGGCTTCCAAATGAAGAGTGCACTGTTACCTTGCAAGGTGTCAGGAGACATTAAGAATTGTGAACTCTTACACTTTTATTTATGTTTCAGAAAAAAACACTATACTTTGGAAGAGATCTTTTCATTTTAATAATTTTTAATTGGAAAAATATAGGAAAAAGTGCTTGGTAGGAGAAAATGGCAGAAGCAGCATCCTTCTGTCTTTACCATTAATAGACTCCGTACATTTGTGTTTTTAATTATGATCTTATATATACTATGTAGTGGCATTTAAAATCTATGAGAGCCTAAATTGTCAGTCATCAGATCTTCCTAAGCATCCTTTTTGCTGTTAGGTTACAGGAGTCTGTCTGTTACAGCTCGCTTCTAAATGCTTACTAATAGAAATTCTCCTGTGATCTGCTTGAAGTATTTTTGTTTTTAAAGGTGTGTGTGTGTGTGTGTGTGTGTGTGTGTGTGTGTGTGTGTGTGTGTGTGTGTAGGCATGCACTTGCCACAGTGTGTGAGTAGAGATCACAGGATAACTTACAGAAATTGTTTCTCTTTTCCTACTGTGTGGGTCCTGGAATCGAACTCAGGTCATTAGGCTTGGCAGCAGGTGCCTTTACTTACTAAGCCATCCTGCCAGCGCTTCAGGCAGTTTCCGATGGACCCAGCCCTGCTGTAGCCACAGAACCTGGACCCATGGGTGCCCACCACCCTGCCCACCTCAGTTCCTGCTCTACGGCATGAGAATTTGGTTTCTTTCTATTTTCCCTCATTGCAAGCCCATCACCAGTAAGAACTTCCCCCATGTCACTCTACACCCTCCTGGCTTACTGTTTCCAGCTACACCAGAGCTGTGTGGCCCAGGGTTTGTGTCTTCTTGTTCCACTGGTGTGCCCTCAGCACCAAAGGCAGCCTGTGTAGAGTAGACAGCCGATACGGTTGTGTCTGCACCATCGACGGTGCCGACGGTGCCTGTCCCGACCGTACCTCTGCAAGCATTACGTGTTCTGGTCTTTGATTTCATGAGCCCCGTGGTGTGTAGTTTTTAATGCCAACCTCAGGGAAGGTAGTTTGGATAGTCATTGCCTTTCTCAACATACTGAAAGTTTTCCTTTGGAGGAGAAAAACTAGTTTTTCTTCAGTTTTCCCAGCTGTAAGCCAAACATTGGCACCCCCCCACACACACACCCCCATTGGTATAGTGAATGTGAGCTTTGATTGGTTAATGGTGACAATGAACCCCTGTCACAGCACTGTACCTGAAATAGGAGTCCATGATGGCAGACAGTGGAGCCCTAGGACCACAGGATGCCGGGATTCTGGTGCCTCACTTCCTCCGGAACCTATTCGTCTCTATTCCTGGTGTTCCCTCTGATCCTCCTGTCTCTGTGTGGCTGGGCACAGCTGTCCTGTGTCTTTCTGTGACCCTGTGACAGGACTTCCTCTTCTGCCCTCAGGGATAGTATTGGTTTTGCCTCTCCACTCAGTTGTTTTAGCCACACTTCTTGCTTTCCTTTTTAAGGAGATAAATAGTGGAATATTAAAAAAAAAATAATGGTAAGACGTGTTTAAAACTTACCTTCTAAAAATGTTCCTGTATGAATCAAATGAACCTGTTTTCCATCCACACTTTCCAGGTCATCAAAGTGAATTTTTTTTGTGGGGGGGAGGGGACAATTAGCTTCATGGATTTTAACCCTTTGTTTGGAAATACGTTTGTGGTTGGAGAAAGGTGATATTTGTGGTATATTTTTAGGTGAACTAAAATGGGTTATCCAACTGTATGGTGTGTATTTTTGTGTGCATATACACAGATACTTAGAGGTGTGAGCAGAAAACCTGGCTAACATATATGTCAGCATATCAGCATTACAGACTTGTGTCTATCTAAACATCTCTCTACCAAGCATATATAAAGGCCTGTGTATGCATATGCATGCACAGTTTAAGAATATGACCTACAATATTAAGTTTTTTTTGTCTCTAGATGGATGTTTCTGGATAGCTTTTTATCTTAATACTATGTTGTTTTCTGTATGTTTACATTTCTAGCCCAAACTAAGCATGGCCAAGTGCAGGAGGAATGTGGAAAACTTCTTGGAAGCATGCAGAAAACTTGGCGTTCCCGAGGTAACGTAAGACTCAGTTCAAATGGCCACGTTTTGATAAAAACGTCATTGTAGCTGTTTGAACCATTGAATAGACATCTTATTTTGGTTTCACTTTTTTTTTAAGTTTCAAGAAATCATCATGAATAAGGGACATATTTTTAGCTGAAATTGTTATGTTACAATGAAATTAAAGTGGTTTTACCTGTATATTCAGTTCTAAGGAAAGGGGGGGATCATTTTTTTTTTTTGGAATGTGAAATTCCAAATTTAAAAGAAAAGGGCTAATATCAGTGAATTGATAAGAATCAGTAAATTATCTAAGCAGAAATCGCTGAGACAATGAGTGGCCTAGGACCAGATCCATAGAGTAGCTAAGAGGATCAGGTCGGAACAGGGGGGTTCTTTAGTCTGGGCTCTGATGCCATATTAATGGCTGGCTTTCGTTCCCAGTAGCTGCATTTTAAGATAGGAGTCAAACTAATGTTCATTAAAAATACAGTGATTGCCGCTGTTGTCGTTGGTGATAACAATGCATGGGGCGCTGTAGTTTGCTCACTGCATTTTCATTTTATCCTTCCGTCTGCTCTAGGCCCAGTGTGCAGCTCTCTTTAGCTCACCTAATTACACAGTAAATATATGATTATATATTTACCCATCCCCACTCCCCATCCCGGGCTCAGCCCTATAGACATCCGCAGGAAGGTGCTCAGGGCTTTTAGAGACTTCCATATTTAATTTAACAGAAAATGACTTCAGGATTTAGGTAGCAGTCATAAAAATGAAGATGTTCCTCATCATTGTGGCAAACAGAGATGAGTAGAAATTACATTTCTTATGGCTTCTATGTTTCCTAATGATATAGGGATAAAGCAACTTTAAAAAAATGAAAACTCTGATGAGAGACTCTGAGCTAGTGTATCACATTTCAAAGTATACTGCACCCCTCTCCTCCTAGCCCCCCACTTTCCTTTCTTTCTCCCTCTTATTTTGGCTTAGGGGAAGGTTAGTAGAAGGATTCTTTTGTTATTTGAGAAAAGGGAAACTATTATTAAAGTGTCCTTACATCGAGGTGTGTCAATGAAATTTACCAACTCCATTGTTGCAAAACAAAATCTAATTTTATTTACTAACCGAAATGTCTTCATGATCAGTTCTGCTTTCAACTCCATTAATCTGTGCCTCTGTGTCGTTTGTGTGTGTGTGAATACCAGAAACACTCCTGGCTTCAGATATCTGTGAAAATACAATTTTTCTGATCATTTGATTCTACCATGGGCTATTAAGAGTTCCCGCTGTGAATTGGAACTCTCAAGCCAATCGCAGATGATAAATGACCCGCATCTGTGTTGGAAAGCCCTGAGGAGTTATGAAGGATCATTCTTGTCACTGTCTCTTGGCTTACCCTGGAACAAAATGAAATGTGAATGCCCTTACTAAGTGAGAAAAGGAAATTAAATCACCATAAAAAAGAGCAAAACATTACAATTTCTCAATATGCCCCTATCATGATGCCTTTAATTGTAATAGTCAACTCATAACTCCCAAGAAGGGTGAAGAAGAGTGAATGACACTTGGCAGAACCACATGACCCAGTTGGTTATACTTGGCTATTTTTAAAGTTGTAAGAGATTTTCAAGAGGGGTTTGTATATATATGTGTGTGTGTGTGTGTGTGTGTGTGTGTGTGTGTGTGTGTGTATCTACCGTAATTTCCACTGGTTGCAAGAGTTACCTTAGATCACTGCTACCAGAAAAAAAAAATGTGCATAAGCAACTAAACTTCTTTACTGAGAATTTTAAGTAAGGAAAACACACTTGCATGGAAAACTGGAAATCCCCAATTGGGAAGTAATTAGCAACTCTTCCTGCTTGCTCAGAACAGAATGTGCTCATCTCACAAATGCATGAGGGAATGTGAAGTTCATCTGTTGTCTGAGACTGTGTTAGTTCTCTTTGTCATAGGATCACCATTTGGAGCTACAGCCTAAAGTCGGCATAAACACTTTGTACAGTTTGTCAGGTACATAGGGGTAGATGCAAGAGCTGAGCAGATTTAGTTAAATGATGACATGCAAAGTCAGTTGATGGGACGGGAAGGGCAACAGTTTTTAAAATTGCCCTTATTTTTATAGTTTATTCCATTTTTTAGAAATCTCTACCAGTACAGTCAGTGTTTATTAAATATTTATGTACAATTGAACAATTGATCCTCAGAACCAGGTGGTGGTCTGTTGATTATCCAAGAAGTGTGCCCATGTGGGGAGTTGTAAGGCAGCATTTCAGCTCACTAGATGAATAGTAGAGGGTGTGGATGAAGCTGTCGCCCTGTGGTGTGTTAAGCTTACTCCTTACAGTAAGGGGTTCCAGGCTGACTTTTGTGCATACATAGTATCTTTGGTAGGCTCGATTCAGAACTGTAGACAGCATCAGGCAACAGGGATACCCTGTGTGAGGCTGATGCTGGGGCTCAGATGGGCAGCTATCTCTGACCTCGGTGCAAGCATCACCTTGGCCTTGAGGACAGTGCTTGATGGGCTCCCGAATCATTCAGGATAGAGTCTTTGTGTCACCGAAGAATCTGAGTCTGGTTAAGTCTTGGGCGCATGAAGCCATTTCTACCTCTGAGCTCCCTTTGTCATTTCTGGGTCAGCCGGGTCCCCCTATGGACAGGTAACAGGTTCATTGTGGGCTATCATTCCACATCTAGACTACTTTAGGAATATTACTAGTAGTCTCTCAGGTTGAGAGAAGTCTCTCATTGAGGAAGAATCAAAAATATTATCCGGCAGATACTATGAGGTTCACTGGGAATGTTTCCACCCACTTTTAAATAAGTAACCATGGTCTTAAAACCATGGAATAGTCTTTCTTACAGAGATACCTGTAGATGGGAGGGGTAGCGCTTGGATCAGAAAGATACTTTCTTTTCTCACTGCTCTGACCTTGCCCTGCTTTACTCTCTCTAGAGAGAACATAGAGAAGGAAGTTAAGACAGTGACCCAGTCGGCAGTGGGTGTGGACACCTTGGCAGGCAGTGGCCCTTCTTCCCTCCATGGCGACCAAGTCCCTTCAGAAGGATGCAAGGCCACTAATTTTCATTCCAGATTCACAAGGACAGGCTGTTGGGTGGACCTCAGTTGCCATACCAAGTGGAGTTAAGAACAACATGGAGAATTACTTGCAGATGCTAACACTGATTCTGTGAGCATAGGCTTAACTATGTTGGAGGTTTTCTCCTTTATTTTACCACCTTTCAGTATTTGGACTTGTGTTTTGTAATGAGATTTTCTACAGAAAGTAACGGTAAGGCATTCCTACATTACACATGCTGTGAAGAGTTAGATTTTGCAGACATGATATGGATCAGATTTTGTCATCCAATGGCAAATTGAAGCTACAGTTTTGTTTTCATTTTTAGGAGAAATGAGTTTCTTATTTTCTTTGAGTTTGTCTCCGTTTCCCACAAACCAGTGACTTTAGTCATCCCTTTAAATTGAAACCAACAGTTCTTTGAAGGGTGGACATGAGATTCTTGGCATGATATTTATTTTGATTCAGTAATCTTACTGGTTTATTCTGTAGCTGGGTAAGGAAATACAAAGTGACAGGTTTGTTATTACACTAATTTGTAAATTCATGCTTTTGGAGGAACCTACATTTAAAGTCAGCTCATCTCTTTTTTTAAGATTTATTTTTCTTTCTAATTACAAGAATGTCTGTGGGTCTGTGTGTGTGAGTACAGTCACCCATGAAGGCCAGAGGAAGATAGGAGAACCCTGCAGCTGGCATTTAAGGCTGTCTCCCCACCCCCACCAGTTCTTTTCTAAGGACCATACACTCACTCAAGTGAGCATCCTTTCCCTGGGGTGAGCTTCCTGCCCACCTCTGACCAGTAGCCTTCCAACCTGTCTCCAGGCATAGTTGAACATAAATCATTTTAAAAGCAGCTTTTAAAATGAGGGTTTAAAAATTTTTAAATACAAGGACACTTGTATTTAAATTTTTTTCAAATATATTTAGTTATTTTTTCAAGATGTGGACCACCTTTTTTTTTTTTTTTTGGATGTTTTACTGTTGGCAATGACTTAGGCAGAGAGGAAAGTTTTACAGTAGAGATCTAATTTTTAATAAGTCAAATTACATAGTAGATAAATCAGCTTGACAATATTAGAGCTGCCCTCTAAGTCCATAAAATGGGCAATTCTTTATTGCATACTTGGAGAGAATTCGAAATCCTCCACTGTTCGTCCCTGCGCCAGACTGTATACCTGGTCACCAGGTTTGAGTGATTACCAAAATACTGTTCTATGATATGTTCAATCAAAACAGAAGCATATTGATTAAGTAAATGCTTTCCAGTTTTCTAACTAGAACTTCTGCCTGGATATGATTAGCTCTTAGAATTTAGACTCGGTGGCACCAGCAGTGTTCTAGTTGGTTTCTGTTGCTGTGATAAACACCATGACCATACGCAACCTGGAGAGGAAAGGATTTGTTTCATCCTACAGCTCCCAGGTAATGGCCCACCACTGAAGGAATTAAGGGCAGAAACGGAAACAGAGGCTGTGGAGAAGCACCACTTACTGGCTTGCTCAGCCACTTTTCCTTATACAGCCTAGGCCAACCTGCCTAAGGGTGATATGTAACTCACAGTGGACTGGGCCTTCCTACATCAATTTACAGTTAAGAAAATGCCCCACTGACATGCCCACAGGCCAGTCTGATGGAGGCACTTCCTCAATTGAGGTTACCTCTTCCCAAGTGTGTCAAGTTCACAACCAGCTGATAACAACAACAAGCTGTGTCAGCTTGACACAGAAGCTTATGACCTTCCCTTGTCCCCCAAATCTCTTGTTAATATAACAGTATAACACTTAGTACAACTTTAAAACTCCCACAGTCATTAAGATGTTCACCACTCTGACAGATGTGGTAGTACATGCCTTTAATCCCAGCACTCAGCAGACAGATGCCTGCACGTATTTGTGACTTTGAGGCAGGCCTGGTCGATATAACAAGC